CCTTAGGCTCTATGCCACTAGAGCTCCTTGATTACCTAGGTGCTATTTACATGGATGTCTTCAATTTGTGAAAATTTATCAAGCTGTATGCTTATGATTAGTGTACTTCCTGTATCTATATTTCAATAACCAAAAACCAAATTCACTGCCATCGAGTCAGATCCAACTCATACCGACCCCTCCTTGGGTTTCTGAGATGGTATCACTACAGAAGTAGATCGCCCAATCTTCCTTCCAAGGAGTAGCTGCTGGGTTTGAACCACCAGCCCTCTGGTTAGCAGTCAGATGCTTTAGGCACTACACTACCAGTTTAAAGAAATTCATGAGTTCTCTTTCTCTGCTGCTCACTCTTGCTCTCTTGTTGTCTCTCTCAAATATACAAAATTCCCAAATACAAAGGAAGAAAAGCTAACTATGAGTAAAAAAAGAAGAAACCACTTCCTGCATTATACAGAGTAAACAATATAAAATACTTAAATAAATAAGGGAGCTCTGGTGGCATAATGCCTAAGGCATTTGACTGCTTAACCAGAAGGCTGGTGGTCCAAATCCACCAGCCACTCCTTGGAAGGAAGGTTGAGCAATCTACTTCCATAGTGATACTACCTCAGAAACCCAAGGAGGGGTTGCTATGAGTTGGATCCGACTCCATGGCAGTGAGTTTGGTTTTAGTTTGGAGTTTAAAGAAATAAAAGAGATGTTTAAAAAAGTATAGATTTTTTTTTTAATGAACATGTAATAAATAATCCAGAATGAACAGGAAGGCTTGAAAGTAGAATTCTAGAAATAAAAATACATTTGCAGTAATTTTAAAAGATTCAGTGAATGAAAAGAATAGTAAATTAGAATTGAACAGAGAATCAGTAACCTGGAAGATATAAAGAATTTTTCTAGAATACTACTAAAAGAGCAAGGAGGCCACATCTCCTGACCTCCTCTAACCCCATAAGAGGAAGACAGAATCACCATCAATAGCCCAAGGCCTATTCCTGTGAAGCCAAACATGCTGCCTCCCTCCAGCCCTTTCATTAACCCTGACACCAACCATTCATCCCGCAGCACCCACCACCTTTCTGCTCAGTGTTCGATAATTCGCTGCAGTGGCCACACAGAACTCACAGATTAAGAGGTTTGTTAGGGAAGCATCAGGCTACAATTCAAGTTCAGGAACAATGCTCATCCTCTCTTGGCCCACCATCTCTCAGCCAACGGTCTCTGTCTCTCTGCCAGCAGTGCGTGTGTCTCTCTCTCAGCAATGTGCATCTCTCAGTGTGTCTTTCTCAGCAGCGCATGTCTCTTTCTCAGCAGCACGTGGCTCTCAAGAGCAAGTGTCTCTCAGCAGTACGTCTTTCTTAGCCAGCAGTCAAAGAGACCTCTTCTGCCTCTAGGAGGCCTCCTTTTGAGCCCGGCAGAATGGCCAAACTAACCAATCATAGCATCAGAATTCTAAGCACCTGAAAGAGAGCACGAACTTCCCAGAATATTGCTTTGTGCCACTCTCAACAGAAATACCGCAGGTGGATAACTTTAATGATCAGGAGCCACTCAGTTGCTCAGGGCAAATTCCACCATGGAGTTTTCAAAGACTTATGGCTAGAAAAGCCATACATGGTAATATATCAGAGAGATTTTAAAAAAGAAAACATGAAAGTAAGGTTAGGTGGCTTGGAGTATAAAAAAAAGAGACTAAGTTCAAATTGAAGTCCCAAGTTGCAAAATGAAGGGCAGAAAATACTTAAAAGGATAGTGGGTGCACATTTTCCAGGGCTAACAAACTATTACCTCACAACAGAGAAAGAAGGAGAGTCAAGAATGGAAGTAAATAAAGTACGTGACTAACTGCCTCCATGAAAACTTCCTCCTTTGTCATGAAATGAGAAAAATTGGATGGTACCTGCCTACCATTACTGAACATTTTGATCAAAGATCCTATAAAATAATAATGATAAAAAGGGGAAAATGCAAAACAGAGTTCTAAATTTTCATAGAATCTAGTCTTTCTGGAGCTGTGGAGGCTGAATGAATCCCTGAAACCATTGGCCTGAGATAATCTTTAAATATTAACCAAAAATGTCCCCTGAAATCTTCTTAAAACTAAGCTTAATAAAGGATGTCTGCTTTAAGCATTGTGCTCTTTTAAGAACTATATGGGATCAAATTGACAACAGCAACTTGAAAGATTAGATAGAAAACAGAGGGCAGTGAGTTTACGTTTATGGGTGAGAAGCCGTTCAGAAAAGGAGGGTGAGAATGGTGTACAACTTGAAGAATGTAATCAATGTCACTAAATTATTCATGTAGAATTTGTTGAGTTGGTGTGTGCTTTGCCATGTATATTTTCAACAAGAAATGTATTTTTTAAAAAAATAACCTCACAGATCCATGAAGCATACTGTATCCAAATCAGGATAAATAAAAATAAATCTGTATTTACACACATTTTAGTAAAACGTCTGACACAAAGATAATCTTTGAAATAACCAGAAAGAAAGCATAGATTATCTAGAGTGGAATTGCAGAGAATGATAGCAGATACCTCAACAACAGTGGAGGTCAGAAAGCAGGGGAATAAATGTAGAAAGTGTTGAGAGAAAAACTTGTCAATCTAGATTTGATTATCCAGCAAAACTATTGTTTATAATCAAGGGCAAATAAAAACATTTGTAGAAAAGTAAACACTTTTCAGAGACTGTTCTGGAGACTGCCCTGATGGATCCAGTAAAATACTTATTTCAAGATCATGAAAAATGATTTCAGAAGGCAGTATTTACCAAGAGAAATGAGAATATATGTCCACAGTCAGACTTATACTTAAATATTCCTAGCAACTGTTTTGGTAATAGCCAAAAATCAGTAACAACACAAGTGTCCATCTACAAGTGAATGAATAAACAAACTGGTACATCTGCACAATGGAATGTTACTTACTAATTAAAAGGTGCAAAGTATTAATACATCTGAAGGTAGAGATGAATCTTAAAATAGCTATGCTGAGTGAAAGAAGCCAGAAATAAAAGAATATGTATGTTTCCATTTTTAAACATCTAGAAAATGCAAAAAGCAGATTAGCAGTTGCTGGGGGGAACAAGAAGGAGTGATTTAAAAGGACACAAGGAAACTTTTGAGGTGTTGGATATGTTTACTATCTTGACTGTGGTGACCATTTCATGATATACGTATGTTAAAACTTACTGAATTTTACTCTTTAAATATATACAACTTATTCTATGTCACTTACATAAAACTATTTTTAAAATCAAACCTCTAAAAGTTATTTAAAAAGAAGGTATTTAACCAAGATTTTTAAAATTTTACTAATAGAGTTTAGATTAGTACCCAATTCTTTTGACTACTAGTCTGGTACTCTTCCTTCTACCTCTTGTTTGTTTCTTTCAGAGATACCCTTCCTACAAGGATTTTTCTTTTCTTTATTGTAATTTGGGTGAAAGTTTACAGAGAAAATTCATTTTCCATTTAACAGCTCATACACATTTTGTTTCATGATATTGATTGCAGTCCTCATGGTGTAACAGCTCTCTTCCCACTTCTTTCTATGGTTACCTTTTCCCTACATCCTTTTTATCTATGCATTCCTACCCTCTGAGCCATCTTCCTGTACAAATGCTGCCTTTCTGATTTCCCATGGTTCATTGTTCTGAGGAGTGTACCTACCTGATTGTAATTGTTCACCTATAGGCCTATCTATCGTTTGGCTGGAAGCCACAGGGGTGAGCTGAATTCCAGGCTCAAAGGGTGACTAGGGGCCTTAGTCTCAGGCGTTTTACCAGTCTCTATCAGACCAGTAAGCCTGGTTTTTTATGATTTTGAGTTTTGTTCCACATTTTTTCTCTCATTGAATCCAGAATCTCCAATTTTGATCCCTTTCTGAGTGAATGGCAATAGTAGATAGGCACCATCTAATTCTTCTGGTCTCAGGGTCAAGTAGGCTGAGGTTCCCATGGTATGCTAGTCCTTTGCACTAATTATTTCCATGAGTCTTTGATTTTCTTCATTCTTTGCTCCAGACAAAGATAGACAAATTGTTGATTCTTAGATGGCCACTCACAAACTTTCTTTCTTTTTTTTAATTGTGATTTGGGTGAAAGTTTACAGAGTGAATTCACTTTCCATACATCAGTTCACATATACTTTGTCTCATGACACTGACTACAATTTACTCCAATGCAACAGCTCCCCTCCTACTTCCTCCCGATAGTTACATCTTCCCTGTGTCCATCCCTCCATGCACTCCTGCCCCCTGAGCTGTCTCCCTGTGCATAAACAGCCCTTCTTTCTCCCATGATTGTTCTCTCCAAGGAGTGTATCTACCTCAGGTAAATGTTCAACTCATATGCCTGTCTTTTGTTTGGCTGGAAGCCACAGGTGTGGGTTCAATTCCAGACTTGAGGGGAAGCTAGTGTCCATAGTCTCAACCAGGCTCTATCAGACCAGCAAACCTGGTCCCTTTTTTTTCCCCCAAATGATTTTGTGTTTTGTTCCACATTGTTCTCCCTCTCTATCCAGGATTTCCTACATAGATCCCCCTCCAAATGGTTGACAGTGGTAGCCAGGTACCATCTAGTTCTTCTGGTCTCATAGTCATATAGGCTGAGGATCACATGGTTTTGTTCATTCTTCTTTGCTTTGGATGAGGAGAGACCCATTGTTGCATCTAGATGGCTGCTTATAAGCTTTTAAGACCCCAGTGCTACCCAACAAAGTAGAAAGTGGAAAATGTTTTTGTGTTGTATTATTATGCCAATTGAACTTGATGTCCCCCATGACCATGGTCCCAAAAATACACATCCAGTGACTCACTCCCACAAAAAGATTTCTTAAAATCATTTTCATGTTTGGAAATTTAGAACATCAGTTTAATAGCAAAAAGTTCATCCTAAATAAATTGTTCAGTTACTTTTAAGTTTTTACTGCTTACAAAAATATTTTTTTTCAATATAGAATTTCATAAACTCATCACAATATTAATATGGAATACTTACCTTCCTTAATACTCCCAGATTTTTGAGTGGGGAAAGCCTGGGGAGGAGGAATCTGTGCAATTAGGGGCTGATGAGGTAGCTGTTGAATGATGGTGGCAGGTGGCTGGGGCACCTAAGATGAAGCAGATGATTAGCTACCTTAATGCATCCAGGAAAGAGTGTTCTAGAGTATCCACCAACCCATATACCCTCTCACCTATGCATTCAATTATCCATGCCATCCATCTATCCACCCATCCATCCACCCCTCCATCCACCCACCCATCCATGCAATTATCCATCTATCCATCTGTCCATCTATCCACTCATTCATCTATCCACACATCCATCCCCTCATCTATCCAATCATCCACCCATACATCTATACCACCACCCATCCATCCACCTACCCGCCCACAATCTACCCATCCAAGGGGAACTTCAGATGATTAATCCTAGAAGTTCAATAAATGGCTGAATAAATAGATATTTATCTGTGAGTATCACTTAAGAAAGCCAAAGATCATTAAAAAGACAAGAAAGAATAGGAAGAACAAAATAGATGTCATAAAACATTCTGAAACTTGCTCTTGAACAGAGAGTAGGTAACGGAAGAAACAATGAAGTGAAAGACCTGAACAGAAGGTTTCAAAGGCTGACTCAAGAAGACAAAGTAAAATATTACAATGAAATGTGCAAAGACCTCAAATTAGAAAATCAAAAGTGAATAACAAACCCAACATTGCTCAAGTTGAAAGAACAAAGAGAACATTTAAGCCTTGAGTTGCAATATTGAAGGGTTCTATGGCCAAAATAGGAGCTCTGGTAGCATAGTGGTTTGACTCGATGTCACATAACAACAACAACAACAATGGCCAAAATATTGAACGATGTAAAAAGCATCAAAAGAAGATGGAAAGACTCACCCCAGCATTAATAGCAAAGTTCAACAAGACAGAAAATAACAAATGCTGGTGAGAATGTGCAGAGATTGGGACTCTCAAACACTGCTGGTGGGACTGTCAAATGATACAACCACTGTGGAAATCGATATGGTGATTCCTTAAAAAGTTTGAAATAGAAATACCATTTGCTCCAGCAATCCCATTACTAGGTATATATTCTAAAGAAGTGAGAGGCAGTACATGAGTATGCACAACCCATGTTCATCGCAGCACTATTCACCATAGCAAAGAGATAGAAACAACTGAAGTGCCCATGAGAAATGGATAAACAAACAATGGTACATACACACGATGGAATACTATGCAACCCTAAAGAATAATGTAGAATCTGCAAGATACAGCATAACTTGGAGGACATTATGCTGAATGAAACAAGTCAATCACAGAAGGACAAATATTGTATTAGTCCACTATTGTAAAAAGTCAAGGAAAGATTTATACATAGAAGGAAACTTTCTTTATTGGTTACCAGGTGTGGGAGGGGAAGGGAGGAGAAGCTAAATTCTTAGATAAGTTGGGGGGAATATATATATATATATATATACACACACACACACACACACACCAGAAATTACCAGGGGTAGGAGGGAATGGGGAAAGAGTAAGCTTTTGTTTGTGGGCATTGAGTTTATGCTAATGGTGGTGGAATATTTTGGAAAAAGATAGCAATAATGGTGGCACAACATGAAAAATGCCTTCAGTGTCTCTGAGCTGTAAACGGGGAAGTTGTTATGTTGGCAAATGTCTTGTGTATGTTTTCACAATGATAAAAGTAAAAAAAGAAAAAGAAAAAAAAAAGATGGAAAGAGTACACAGAATCACAGTACCAACAAGAATTGGTTGATGTTCAAAATTATTTAAAAAAAATTAAAAAAACCACCAAATCCTCTGCCAATGAGTCAGTTCTGACTCAGAGTGATCCTCCACTGGGTTTCTGAGGCAGTAAATCTTTACAGAAGTAGGTTGCCCCACCTTCCTTTCACTGAGTGGCTGGTAGGTTTGGACTGCCAACCTTCTGGTTAGCAGTCAAATGCTTTAGACATTGCACCACCAGAGCTCCTTTCAAATATTTCAGGAGGTAGCATATGATCAAGAACTGATGGTACTGAAGGAAGAAGTCCAAGCTGCACTGAAAGGCACTGGCAAAAAACAAGGTTCCAGGAATTGATGGATTACCAACTGAGATGTTTCAACAAATGGATACAACACTGGAAGTGCTCACTTGTGTATGCCAAGAAATTTGGAAGACAGCTACCTGGCCGAACTGACTGGAAGATCCATATTTGTACCCATTCCAAAGAAAGGTGACCCAACAGAATGTGGAAATTACAAACAATATCATTAATATCACACACAAGTAAAACTTTGCTGAAGATAATTCAAAAATGATTGCAGCAGAACATTGACAGGGAACTGTTGGGAATTCAGGAAGGATTCAGAAGAGGATGTGGAACAAGGGCTATCATTGCTGATGTCATATGGATTTTTCAAGCAGAGAATACCAGAAAGATGTTTATCTGTGTTTTATTGACTATGCAAAGGTATTCAATTGTGTGGATCATAACAAATTATGGGTAACATTGAGAAGAATGGAAATTCTAGAACATTTTACTGTGTTCATAAGGAACATGTACATAGACCAGGAGGCTGTTGTTTGAACAAGGGGATACTATATGTTTTAAAATTAGAAAAGGTGTGTGCTGGGGTTGTATCCTTTCACCATACTTACTCAATCTGAGAAGATGGACTATATGAAGAAAATTTGAAGCACTTGCTGTTAAAGATCAAAGACTGCAGTCTTCAATATGGATTACACCTCAACATAAAACTGAACCAATAAGCAACATCATGATAAACAGCAAAAATATTGATGCTATCAAGAATTTCATTTTACTAGGACCCACAATCAATGACCATGGAAACAGCAGTCAAGAAATCAAATGATGTATTGCATTGGGCAAATTTGCTTCAAAAGACGTCTTTAAAGTGTTAAAAAGTGAAGATGTCACTCTAAGGGCTAAGGTATGCCTGACCCAAGCCATAGTATTTTCAGTTGCCTCACATGCATGTGAAAGTTGGACAATGAATAAGGAAGACCACAGAAGAGCTGATGCCCTTGAATCATATTGGCAAAAAATTTTAAATATACCACGGATTGCCTGAAGAATGAACAAATCTGTGTTGGAAGAAGTACAACCAGAATGCTCTTAGAAGCAAGGATGACAAGACTTTGTCTCACATACTTTGGACACATTATCAGGGGGGACCAACCCTTGGAGAAGGACCTCATGCTGGTAAAGTGAGGGTCAGTGAAAAAGAGGAAGACCCTCAATAAGATGGATTGACACAGTGGCTGGAACAATGGGCTCAAATGTAGCAAGGATTATGAGGATGGCATAGGACCAGGCAGTGTTTTGTTCTATTGTACACAGGGTGCTTATGAGTCAGAATTAACTCGATGGCATCTAACAACAATAACATCACTTAGGATACATTTTTAATGTTCCTACATTTCCCGTCTACATCAGGCTAGGCAAATGACTGGCTGCATCAAGTCTGCTTTAATGAAAATATATAAGGTACTTATCATGAAAAATATCCCTTAGTTTCTCTTCTGAATTAAAAATAAATGTTCAGTAATTTCAAGTATGCCACAGGAAAACCTATTTTCATCTTCTGTTGGATACACACACCCTGCATGACTTGTCCCTTATTTCTCAGCTTACAGAAAGGATGACACACACCAAAGTTTGGCAAACTTTTCTACAAAGGACCAGATAGTAAATATTTCAGGCTTTCAGGCCGTATAGTCTCAGCTGTAACTCTCCAACTTTTCTGTTGTAGCATGAAAGCAGCCATAGACAATATGTAAACAAATGACAACGGGTGTGTGTCAATAAAACTTTATTCATGAACACTGGATTTTGAATTTTATGTATTAAAAAACATTATTCTTTGATATCCTTACCCTACAGGTTATACAAAAATAGGTGATAGTCCAGCTTTGGCCTCTGGTCATGGTTTGCCAACCTCTGGATAGACCAAGGAGGCATTCTTAGAATGGCTGTACCTATCCTGGCCAATAGGACCTCCTATCTCAGTGTCCTTGAGTCTAGCTGATGGGAAACTCTTCTTAGTGACCATGGCCCCCTGTTCACCCTGGTGTCATTACAGAATGAGACTGAATCACGCAGCATGATTGGGCCCTGAGGAAGACACACTGAGTTTAGTAGCTCTCTTTGGAATGGGGAGGAGAAAAGCTTCTCATACCTGAGTTCCTCTAGGTCCCCTACTGCAGTGTAGTAAATTACTTAGTGTGGCTTTTCTACCCATAAGTCTTTGTAAACTCCAAGGTGGGATTTTCTATGAGCAACTGAGGAGCTCCTGATTGCTGAAGCTATCCACCTGGGTTATTTCTGTTGGGCGTGGCACAATACAATGTTCTGGGAGGTTCCCACTCTCTTTCACGTGCTTAGAGTTCTGATGTTGTGATTGGCTAGTTTGACCACCCTTCCGGGCTCAAAAGGAGGCCTCCTGGAGGTAGAACTCTCTCTGACTGCTGGTTGAGGAAGACGTGCTGCCGAAAGAGACATGCACCCCTGAAAGAGACATGCGCCCCTGAAAGAGACACGTGCTGCTGGGAAAGAGATGCAAGAGACACGCATTGCTGAGTGAGACACCGAGGGACCAGCATTGCTGGGAAAGAGACTGTGAGAGACTGTTGGCTGAGGGATAGTGGGCTGGGAGAGAGACTGAGCATTTTCCCTGAACTTGAATTGTAGCCTGTGGTGCTTCCCTAATAAACCCCATAATCTGTGAGCTCTGTGTGGCCACTGCAGCGAATTATCAAACCCAGAGGAGAGGTGGTGGGTGCTTTGGGAGGAACGGTTGGTGAAAGGGCTGGAGGGAGGCAGCATGGCTGGCCTTGTAGGAATAGGCCTTGCGCTATTGATGGTGATTCTGCCTTCCTCTTGTGGGATTAGAGGAGGTCTGAACATGTGGCCTCCTTGTCGTCTTTGCACCTACCACTCCCACAATTCCTACAAGGGATAGTGGAGAAGCGTCAGGGGTTCCAGGTGTAGGAAGACTGAAAGGGTTGGTCTAGGCTATCCAGAACCTAGACAGCTGACAGCTAAAGGGGACTCAGTCATCCATTAGAACAGATCCCTCAGAGGCTCTCCCTTCCCACTCAGTTCCATCTGCTGTATGCTGCCAGGGTCTCCTGTCCCTGGCCAGCTTGTCCAGAACATTCTCAACATGACCTTTTCTACCTCTTCATCCTCTTCTTCCCCCACACCCTGCATCCCAGTCACATCAGACTTTTCACAGAGCTTCCCAGGTTTCTTTCCCTATTCTGGGTACCGAGTTATCCTCTGATACATCCTCTTTTGCTTAAACTTGGAACCTTTACTTTTCTAAGCTCAGTTCTTGGAATTAGGGTCTTAAGCATCCCCTGGTCACAAGAAGTTTTGAAAAAGATTTGACATACTGTTTCCCCAAACTCAAGGCCCTCCAGATACTGGGTTCCCCAAACCCTCATATTCTAGTGTAATGGCAAAATTCAGGGTTGGAGTCAGGAAGGGGGAGTTGGGACCCCAGCCTCTCAGTTATAATAAGGGTTAAGACCACCCTTCTGCAGCTGGTCTGCAAGGTACTGGCATCATTGGCTCTCAGCCCATCAATCCTCTTCAGTGTGTTTTCATAATACTGGTGGGTTTGTTTTGAGATGACCAGGTGTAGAAGAGAGAAAATAACTGTCATCTTTTTGTTTAGATGAATTGCTCTCCTAACATTTCTGAAACACTCTGGCATAAGGGAGTGGCTGGGACTATGACTGTCTATTTAGTACACATGTGCACACATACTCGCATGCATGCATGCACACACAAAATGCTGTTTTCATGTCTGCTTGGTGAGGCATTCCTCTTACCGAGTGCTGGATGATCCGGGGTGGCTCTGGGCCCAGTGGGGGTGGAGAGGCAGCAGGGTGGCTGCACACAGTGGGCACCTCTGGGGGCAGCGCTGAACCCCAGGTTCCTCTGTTTGCATCTCTCCAAACGTGGGCCCGGGAGAGCTCCTCCAGGAGGTGATGTTCCTGTAACACATGCAGAGTCTAACGGCTTCGTGTGGAAGGGAGACCCACAGAAGCCAGGAAAGGAAATGCTCTGAGAGCCACATCTGATATGACAGTGATCAAATCCCCAGACATAGGGCTTCCTGGGGGAGGAGTCATAAGGCTGTCAAGGTGAATGGTTTCTCAGGAGCTCTGCCTGCCTCCTCGGTGCGTATGGAACCTGGGGCTGCAGGGCTACAGCCAGCACTAGGCACTAGGCCTCAAGAGACCCAGACCCTGAGGTCAGCCTGGAGCACCAGCAGCCTCTTGGCCTGTTGGGATTGAACCAGTGTGTAGAGAGAGGCCCTGAGGCCCTCTGGAACTAGAGATGCACATGTGAGAATCATATTTCTTTATAAATTTACCAAATAATTTGAACTAGGTTTTTTTTCCCCCGGGTAAAAGAATCTGTTTCTTTTTAAAGCATGCCTCAATGCCCATTCTCACTACAAAGATTCCCCTCTCTAGAACAGCCTGTCAAACTCAGCTCTAACGCACAGTCCTAGTTCTCACTGCCACCTTGGTCTCCAGAGCATAGCATTCTCCTTGGTCTCTGGAGCATAGCATTAACTGAGTATGACCTGGCTGAAGCTCAGGGAGTCTCAGAATTTCCTTTTCCTGCAGGAATTGAGCCCTTCATCAATATTCTACCATTGATGTGTGTAACCAACACAGGCTTTTCAGCTGATAAGACTCCCTTAGGAATATGGGTCACACAGACTGCCTGCCTACACTCATTGCCTTTTCTAGGGAGCCGCATTTCGCCAGTTACCATCAGTGAGCTACAAATGCTCAAGAAGCAATGTTAAGCACCCAGAAACTCCATTGGTGCATCTAGTCTGTGCACCAGCTGGTTATCACAGCCCTGCTGACCAGACCAGCGGCCCACTGACCCGTCCTGCTGATAGGAGTGCTAGTGGGTGCTGGCCAGGTTGGCTGGGAGGGTCAGGCCTACCCAGAGTCTCTGCAGAAGGTCCTTCCTTCTCCTCAGGGCATTCTTCAGGGCTTCATCTGGCTTGGCCTCATCTCCTGGAAGGTAAGCAAGGACTGGAAGGTCAGGTATGTCTTTGAAGATGGCATTGGAGATATCCTTAGAAGCCCCACCTCACCCACCCCTGGGACTAGTGTGACATGGAGGCTCCAGCAAATGCCTGCTCCAAAGGAAGGACTGTCATTTGGGGAAACAGGGCTCAGGAGCTACCTCTGGGAGCCAGGGGAACCAGGACACTCAGCCTTCCTTTTGGAACCTGTCCAATGGATCATCTGAGTCCTGAGAAGGAGTCAGAAAGCCAGTTCCTTTACAGGCTCAACACTCATTGCTCCTGCAACACCCCCACAGAAAGTCATTTTTGCACTGCGGACTGTGGGCAAAAAGCCCCTCCCAAAGCACAGGGAAAGGACAGTTGTGTTGTGAGTCCAGCCTTCTACCTCCTGGAGCCACTGATGACCCAATTTGTCCAGAGACATGGCTCTGTCCATTGAGTCCCAGAGGTCCCATCTGCAGGTCCCTCCTGTCCATGCCTCTCTCAGGGGAGGGACTCAAACTTGGGAGAAGGCTCTAGGAGGGGTCCTGTCCCCAGGGCGGTCTCTGGCCTCCTTTGCTGTGGGCACAGAGCATCTTACCCCCTAGCTCTGCATCTTAGCCTGGCTGCTGGGACTGCCAAGCTTCATCTCCTCCTCTCAGGGAGCCTTCTCTCCCCCACCCCATTCCAGGGCTACTCCATGGTTCTTCTCCTGGTAAGACAACCTGATTTGGAATTTTCTATCTGGATAGGGACCCCAGGCCCTGCCTGCTGCCCTTGAGAGCTATCTGGCATCTCCACTGCCTTGTGGGGTTGCCCTGACAAGAGGCTGCCTAGCCACATCTCCAAGAGAAGAAATGCTCCTCTGGGCCTTTCAGTGTTTACCAGGTATCTTTGGACTCCAACTCCATTACCAGTAATGCAGTCCCCGCCCCAGCTCTGTGTAGCCTGAGTACATGACTATAGACTGTGGGGAGGATGCACAGACCCATGGGGACCAAACTACCCCCATTTCCACCCTCAGGCCAAGCTTGGAGCTCTGGAATCAGTGACTGGGTCTGATGCCAGCGTGACCACTTCCAACCTGGGTTGCCTCCCAACTGGGATGGGGGAGGATGGTCTAGGACTTCTGGGTTATTGAAACTTTCTGAGCCTCTGTTTTCTCATCTGAGAAGTAGGAATATCTCTACACCCATTTTGGGGTTTGCAGACTGAAGGTGGGGTAGTGTTGGAGATTGTGCCCAGCACGATGTTGGGATGTGTGTGTATGTGAGTGTGAGTATGTGTCTACACCAGTGAGTGTGTATGTGTGTGAGAATGTGTGTATATATGTTATGAGCATTAACCAAAAAAGCCAAACTCACTGATATTGAGTCAACTCTGATTCACAGTGATCCCCATCAGGTTTCTGAGACTGTAAAACTTTTTTCTTTTAAAGAGTTTGTTTTACATTCAACGTTATGTGTACATTTATTTTCACTCCCCATTTACCATGCCCAACCCTAACCCAGTCTCCTCCCATCCCTGCCCAGTAACCCTCCTCCCCCTACCCATGCCCCTCATAGTTATGCAATCCTGTGTGTCTTGCATTTCCTCTCAGTGTGAATGTTGCCCCTCTGGTGTCCCATGGTCTATTGCTCTAAGGGATGTATTACCATAAAGTATGTGGGTACATCATCCTGGGTTGAGTGGTCTGCATGTACATCTTGTTAACTATTGGGCTGAGAGCCAGCCCCTGGGAGTGAGTTTTATTCCAGGTGCAGAATATCTTCCAGGGCCATAGTATTAGGGGTCTCATCAGACTTCATCTGACCAGTAATTCAGGTCATTATTGAGTTTTTGAATTTTGTTCCATGTTTTTCCTCCCATTCTATCCAGGATCTCCAGATTTGATCCTTTCCTGAGTGATTGGCATTGGTAGCCGGGCACCATCTAGTTCTTCTGGTCTTGAGGGCTATTGTGTCCTAGGGCTGATTGCTTCCAAATGCCACCACCACCCCCCCCCTTTTTTTTTTTTTTTTTGCACTCTTCTTCTTTGCTTCCAACACTAGGAGACCATTAGCTGCATCTTAGATTGCCGCTTGAAAGCTTTGAAGACCCCAGTCACTCGAGACTGTAAATATTTACGGAAGTAGATCGCCCCATCGTCCTTCTGTGGAGCGGATTGTGGATTTGAACCACTGACCTGGTTAATAGTCAAATGCCTTACCCACTATACCACCAGAGCTCCTTGTTAAGAGCATGGATATGTGTATATATGTGTGTGTGACTAAGTGTGTGTATGTGTGTGTGTGTGTTAAAGAAAAAACAAAAGCCTCTCATTCAGAATGTCAAGGAAACTTATTAAGGATAACCTTGGCAGTAACAGGAGGAAAGGAGGGATGGAGTATGGGGTGAGAACTCCCATGGGCATGTTGTCCCCAGTTCCCCTCAAAATGACTGGTCTTGTGCCACCTGTAGCAGCTCCAAGCAACCCATGGCTCTTACCTGCCACGATGTGCAGGAGTTCAGAGTCCTCTTCCATGTTCTCACGTTCACGCTCCAGCTTCTGAAAGGGTAAGAAACTGTGTGTAATGAAAGTGTTGGTTCCAGCTTTGTGTGAGCAGGAGCCAGGGCTGCCCACCTGCCCTGTCCTCCTATCCTGCCTACCTGCCTTGCTCTCTTGCCTTCCCTACATGCCTGCCCCCAGTCCTCCCCACTTGCCCAGCCCACTTGCCCTGTCCTTTGCCCTCCCCACCTACCATGCCCCCTTGCCCTCCCTAGTTGTTGCTGTGAGCACCTGGCTCATGGGCTGCAAGGACTAAAAGTGTTCCCATGTGACCAGGTTCCAGACAAGTGTGTGGAAGCATGAAATGCTGTGTGGAGGTGGGTGTGATACCAGGTATGATATCAGGCACTGCCTTGGCACATATTTCCCATTTTAAAAGCTGAGGATGCACATTCTGACTGGACCCACTTCAGGCAGCTTTGTGTGGCAGGGCCTTGGGCAGGATGGGCCATGGTGAGCTGTGTCCTGGGTGGGCACACTGTCTGGTCTCCCCTGCAAAGGAGCAGCCTGACCTGCTCTGGTCTACCCAGACCCCCTGTCCCCCAACCGCAGCTCTGCAGCTTCATGAAACCCACCTGAGCCCTGAGCTGAACAGGTGTCCCCGATGGCTCCAAGCTTCCCCAACTGCTGGCCCTCCCATAGCCCCCCTGGGGAGGGAGGAGGCAAGGGGCAGCTTGGAAGACTTGGTCAGCGTAAGGTTCTAAAAGGAGGACAAGGCAGGAAGAGGCTCAAGGAGCTGCCACAGCAGGGATAGGCTGAAAGTAAACTGCAAAGACCCTTAGAGAGAGAGTGAGAATGGGTTTGAGATGGGTCATCAGGCCATAGCCCAGCTGCCCAGGCTGGCCCTGCACCTGGAGCAGGTCTACCTAAGCCTGTCTCCATAGCAGGAGCCATGCCTACCTTGTGACTTGGAAAATGCTAGAACCTACTAGATTCTATATGAACACAAAGAGGAAACTGAGAAATCACACTCCATTCATCACAGGATGAAACCACTGAAAGGCTCTAAAAAGCAGGTTCCTGAAAGCAGGAACACACATGCGGGTACACTGCCACAGGAAAAAAGTAAAGTTATATTGTCTTACCTGTCCCTTGTTCCATAAGCCTAAAGGTTGAGTTGTTAAAGGAGTTGATAGAAACATGACTCTTCTCAGGCCTTCCTACCTTTTCCAAGAGTTTGAGGGTCAGGCGAGTCATTTGGTCGGCTACCAATGAGTCCACCATCATGGAAACCCTGTGAGTCACGTTCTGCAGGCCCGCACTCCTTCTTCAATGCTAAGTTATCTGCAGGAAAGAACCTCTCAGCAAGTGGCAATACTGAACCCATCATCGCAGGACTCACAACACTCAGCCCATTTACCTCCTGGGGTTGGCCAGGTGGGTAGAGCAGAGCTATGCAAGAGGGCTGTGATGGCCTGGCCACTACATCCCACTCCCTCTAGAATGCAAGTGCCTGATAAGCCAGTACCAGCTGTGCTTGGGCAGTTGCTAGACGCCCAGGACTGGGAGGGGCAGCCCCAGTTGCTAGGTTTCCACTGAGAGCCCTCCCCAGACCAACTGTTGCTAAGTTGGCATTACCTATAAACACTGATCCCCAGGTGTGGTGGTGCCAGGGCTCCTTGGAAAAGCAGCAGTGGGCAGCAGCTGGGGCTGGAGGGACAAGGACGGGGGTGTGTGTGTGTGTGTGTGTGTGTGTGAGTGAAGGACAGTTCTGCGCTGTGCTTCCCATGCACTCCCCGTCACTCCCCCTCCCCCAGTCCAAGACCCTCTGATCATGGCAGGGCACAGCCTGAGAGCTAGGAGGACTGAGTAGGGAGAGACAAACTCAGGTTTCAGAGGGACTGCCTTGGAATTTGGGAGGTGGTGTTGTTGGAAGGACAAGGTCCTAATTCCCCACAGTACTGGGAAGCTTTTGATGGTTTATCTCACTGCTTATTTATTTAGTTTATGGTTATCTCCATATTGTAACATGAGCCCTACATGGTTGCTGCCATGACACCCCTGCACCAAGATCCCCTCTGTGCGTTCTCATCCAGCTTTGTGGCATCCTAGATTATAGTGGAGGTGGATTTCATGGCATCCACACTATTTCACACATGGACATTGAGGCACAGCTGCTTGGTGGTTTCCCATCACTTCCCAGGTCCATAACTCCTGCACCCTCACCATCCTCATCTGCTCCAGCATGCAGCATTCTCCTGTGTCCATGGTATCCATATCTCTACTGTGTTTCCTTATCCTGTCCCTGAAACATGGTGCTGTCTATGTCCAGACTCTGGGGCTTGCTTTACTCTCCTTTGATAGACATGGGATCCTACAGATTGATAAGAAACAACAGAATGTGACTGGGAATACTGAGCCCACTTACCCCAATAACACACGAGGACATGCAAGAGCATGCACGAGCATGCAAGAATACATGAGAACACACTCTTGGCCTGTATGGATGTCACTCCCTTGCTTCAGTGCCTGTACCCTCCAGTAATAAGTGCACTGGTACCTTTATCCTGTGAGTGATTTAAGACCCAGGTGAGAACACTTTGGGTTAATGTCAGAGTGTGGTGGTTAATTTCATGTGTCCATTTGGCCAGGCTGTGATGCTCAGTTGTTTGGCCAAACAATAATGTTGTTATGAAGGTATTTAGATGATTAACTTTAAAATTAATTCACCTGAGGTAAAGCAGATCCCTCTTCACAAAGTCAGCCAGTCTCATCCAATTGAAGGCTGTAAGAGCAAAAATTGAGGTTGTCTGAGGTAGGGAGATTCTCAAGACTGTAATATAGACCTCCTGTTGGAGTTTCCAGCCTGCCACATGGCCTACTGATTTTGGACTTGCCAGTCTCACAATCAAGGAACTCTACTGATGCAGTGATTGAAGCATTTGGTTGCTAACCAAAAGGTCAGCTGTTTGAATCCACCAGCTACTCCGTGGAAGAAAGATGAAATGGTCTGCTTCCATAAAGATTTACAGCCTTGGAAACCTTTGGGGGCAGTTCTACTCTATCCTATAGGGTCACTATGAGTCAAAATCGACTCGATGGCAGTGGGTTTTTTGGAGCCCCACAATCACGTGAGCCAACTGCATAAAATAAATCTCTCTCTGTATATTGTATATAAAAAAAAAAAAACCAAACTCACTGCCATCGAGTCAATTCCAACTCATAATGACCCCTGTTAGGTTTCTGAGGCAGTAAATCTTTAGGAAGTAGATTGCCCATCTCCCTTCTGTGGAGCTGCTGGTAGTTTGAATGGCCAACCTTCTGGTTAGCTGTCAAATGCCTTAGGCACTGTGCCACCAGAGCTCCATGTATACACACATACACACACACACACACACCATATTAGTTCTGTTTCTCTGGAGAACTCTAAGACACAGAGACTATTAGCTTTCAATGAACTTGAATGACATTGGAAGTATTTGGCTGCTAATCAAAACTGCGAGTGATGAATAATACCTTACCTTGCTTCTTTATCTAGTGCATAGGCTCACGTGAATTTCAAAGGGAACCAAAGTAAGAAATAAAAAAGGACTTCTGTGCCACCCAAAGACATATTGAATTTAGGGCCCACCCTAAATCCAGGATGATCTCATTTCAAGATCCTTAACTAATTACATCTGCAAAGACCCTATCACATTTTGAGGTTCCAGGTAGATATAAATTTTGGAGGAGCAAATTGAACCTGTTAATTCAGGGCAACCCAATCAAAATTCCAGCAAGACTTTTTAAAGTAACTTGACCGAATACTTCAAAATGTAAGTGGAAGAAAGGTCTACCAACTGAGTAGTTGAACCAGTGGGCTCAGGACAATAGTCACAGGGGGCATCAAGCTCAACTGGCATAACATACTACACAAAACATTGTTCCACTTCCTACTTTGATGAGTAGCGACTGGGATCTTCAAAGCTTGCAATCAGTCATCTAGATGCAATGATGGGTCTCTCCTTGTCCAGAGCAAAGAAGAATGAAGAAAAACCAAAGACTCATGGAAAGAATTAGTCCTAGCAACTGGTACACCACGCGATAAGCAGCCTATATGACTATGAGACCAGAAGAACTAGATGGTGCCCGACTACCACTGTCAACCACTTGGAGGGGGATCTGTGTAGGAGATCCTGGATAGAGAGGGAGAACAATGTGGAACAAAACTCTGATTCATTTGGAAGAAAAAAAAAGGGAGACCAGGTTTGCTGGTCTGATAGAGCCTGGTGGAACCATTCAGATTATGGCCCCTAGCTTCCCTTCAGGTCTAGAAATGAACCCACACCTGTGGCTTCCAGCCAAACAAAAGACAGGCATATGAGTTGAACATTTACCTGAGGTAGCTACACTCCTTGGATAGAACAATCATGGGAGAAAGGAGAGGTGTTTATGCACAGGGAGGCTGCTCAGGGGGCAGGAATGCATGGAGGGATGGACACAGGAAGAGGTAACTATTGGGAAGAAGTGGGAGGGGAGCTATTGCATTGGGGTAAATTGTAGTCAATGTCATGAGACAAAGTATATGTAAACTGCTGTATGGAAAGTGAATTTGCTCTGTAAATTTCCACCCAAATCACAATTACAAAATAACAAAGAAAGAAAAAAAGAAAGGTCCACCAAGAGAGAAATCAATTGAGAAAAAGAAGAGCAAAAAGAGGTACTTATCCTACCTGATATTGAGACATAACAAGGACATAGTAAGAAACACTGTAGGTGAGAAGAACACAAAAAACCCAGTGAGTCAGAATAGAGAATTCAGAAACAGACTCATGTGGATGAAAAAACAAACTCACTGCCATCAAGTCGGTTTGGACTCATAGTGACCTCTCCTGGGGTTTCCGAGGTGGTATCTCTACGGAAGTAGATTTCTTAGTCTTTCTTCTGAGGAGTGGCTGGTGGGTTTGAACCATCAGCCTCTGGTTAGCAGTCAAATGCCTTAGACACTATGCCACCAGAGCTCTTCAAATGTGCATAGGAAGCTGATATATATGATCAAGAAGGTCTCGTAGCCAAGTAGTGTTGGGAAATCTGGGCAACTCTTTGGAGAAAACAAAGTCTAGATTCTTGCCTTATATCATATATAAAACTGAACTTCAGATGGATTGTTGTTGTTGTTGTTGTTATGTGCCGTCGAGTCAAACCCGACTCATAGCAACCCCTCCTTGGGTTTCCGAGGTAGTATCACT